CGGAAAATAAGCGGAGGGGCGCATAATATGACTTAAAAATATAATCAAACGCCACCCTGTCTCCCATATTTATGGGAAAGTTTACAGCCGCAGTATGTTGAACATGGGAAGCCATTTCGGTTTATTAGATCATCAAATATCGAATTTAAATCTAATATAAATAAATTATTAAACATTAAGGAGAAAAAAGTGAATATTACGAACAGGTAACTGACTTAAAAAAGGTTGAGTCGGAAATTTGCACCCCTCCGGTAAAGGGATATTTTATTCCTTTACCTTGACTTAGGCATACACATTGCATATATTTGTATAGCGTTATTAAGAAATTGTGTTATGGCCACTATTGTAGTACATCCGGAGAAAGATCAGCTTAAAGCAGTTAAGGCTTTTTTGAAAGCATTAAAGGTGCCCTACGAAGAGCAAAAGGGGGTGGAAGCGTTGCCGGATCATGTCATGCGGGATTTAAAGATCTCCCAGCAACAGGCTTCAGAAGGAAAGTTGACACGTTATACCGGTATTGATGATATGCTCAACATTAAATGATTTTAAATATCGTTTTTACACCAAGAGCACAAGAGACGCTGACTGCTGTTTATGAATTTATTCAAAACAAGTTTGGGCAACGGGCTTCGTTAAAGTATAAGGAGAAAGCCGATAAAGTCATTACCTCCATTTCTCAATTTCCAATGATGTTTAAAGCGACTGCATTTGATGAAAGCGTGAGAATTGCATTAATCACCAAGCAGTCTTCTCTTTTATATCAGATCACTGAAACTTCTATTGTATTACAAGTGTTTTGGGACAACCGTCAGGAGCCAATAATCGTATGATCAATCCCTTTAATCAAATTTTATTTAACACGGGTTTAGTTTAGAGGTGTCCTTCTTATTCTGATCTCAGTCATGGCAGTGGTGAATTTCAAACTTTCATTCTTATAATATTGTTTGTTTTTGAAATTCTCATCGGTAGATGAATAAGACATGGAAATTTCTTTCAATTC